GGGAGATTTAGATGAGATATGAGGAAGAAATTCTTTGCTGTGAGGGTGGTGAGACACTGGAAGAGGTTGCCCAGAGAAGCTGTGGCTGCCCCATCCCTGGAGGGGTTCAAGGCCAGGTTGGATGGGGCCTTGAGCAACCTGGTCTGGTGGGAGGTGTCCCTGCCCAGGGCAGGGGGTTGGAACTGGATGATCTTTAAGGTCCCTTCCAACTCTAACCATTCTATGACTAACCTCTTCCCTCTTGCAGTCGGTGTCCTCCCTGCTGTGTTCCCCACAGGTTGCTGCCCTTGGTAAGTTTGGGTTGATCTTCTCTGCACCTCCCAGAGGACTCCCCTCCACCTTGTGTCAGGGTCAGGGAGAAAACCCTGCTGGTAGGGCTGTGGCTCTGAGAAGTTTGCACTTCTGCTGCACTCTTCAGCTTTCTCCTTCCCTGCAGCAGAAAGAAACCAACTCAGCACAGGAGGAAGTCGTTTGCTGCCGGGGCGGGCCACAAGGGAGCAGGGATGGAGATGAAATGCTTGTGGTGTGTTGCTGTGGCACGTTCTCCCTCTAAAAGAGCTGTTACTCGATAAAGATCCTGTTGTGCCCGGCTGTTTGTGCGGTGGGAGCGGTGTGTGAAGCAGGGGAGGAAGCGAGAAGCCCTGAATTGAGCTCCAAGTACATAATTCAGGCCACTCCACTGAAGAGTTTGACACCCCTGCCATAAATAACGGAGCGGTAGACTACAGTAAACAATGCTTTAGCCTTTCCAGTTAAAAACTTCCTTTGCACTGTAGTAAAATATTGACTTCAGGTGACCATATTACCGCAAAATATGATCTTTTTCTGACGCTAACCAAAGAAGCCTTTACATAGATCTGGCCAGTGAGAATGAGAATTTCCTTGGCATATAGGAAATCCAGCCACATTTGAGAGTGACGTGTCAACAATCTTTTGATAATTCAACCACAACGTCCTTGTTGCCTGCCCTTAGCTCTCTGCCATGAGACAAGTAGGTGCTGGTCTGCTGTCTCAGGAGACTGAGCATCATTTGCTGGAGCTGTGACAAGTCTCCTCTGGTAAACTCATGACAGTTAAAACTCACCAGGATTTAAAGTGTTGGCCTGCGTAGGTTTTTCGGTATTTAACTTTGATGGCTTCTTCTGCAGTCAATGCTTTTACCATTCTGCTCTAGCATCCACTACATGAAACAGAGAAGGAAAAAAACATGACCACCTTGTGTTATTTTAGCCAGAAAGCACAACAAAAGGCATCTATTTTCTGCAGTAGATCCCTTCCAGATCTCATGCCCACCCCCAAGTCTGTTCTGACGGGCCTGTAAGTTACTTTGCATCTATATTTTCTCATAAAAGGTGACAGCAGCACTGAAACTGGTTCAGGACAGTTAACAGTTTAGCTAAATCTCCCTGTGGCCTCCTGGAGCACCTGAGACTGTGACAGCTCTGTCTGTACAGAGGAAATAGCCACGGTCTCATGGAAGGGTGGTTTTTATTGCCCTGCTCTGTAAGGCCCAGCACATTCAGAGTACTGTGACATTAATGCTGTATATAGGTGGACACCTGGAGGTATGTCATACTTCACAACTTATAGAATCGTATAGAATCACAGAATTGCCCAGGTTGGAAGGGACCTTTCACACCATCTAGTCCAACCATCAACCCAACACTGACAAAAACCATCACTAAACCATATCTCTAAGCACCACGTCTACCCATCTTTTAAATACCACCAGGGATGGTGACTCCACCACTGCCCTGAGTAGCCTGTTCCATCTTCGGCCCCACAGATGGCCTGGACAAATACAGCTCATTAGTTGCCAAGGTCTATTCTGGTATGCAAATTCCTGTGCGCTCTGAGCAATGCCCTTCAGCCCAGGCTGGGAGACCTCTGATAGCATGGTCAGAAAGCCCAGACACAACCAGTCTGAGACACTGGTTTTTGAGACTGGTCAAGGAAAGGAGAAAGTTCTTAATTTCTAGTTAAATTGTGTTCACTGTGCTAATTGAACTGGTTTATCTTTCGGTTCTCCTGCTTGAGAATTTTTGTTTATTAAACTCCAGCATTCAGCATTGGCCCTCGAGACTAACACTTGCTGTAGTGGCAAATTTATTAGGGCTCCTTCAGGTATTGAATAGGCTGAGGGTTTTTTATTATATGCACACGGCTTCTTTACACCCCCACTGTACATGAGCCGATGTGTTAAATAAGATCCAAGGCCCATTAAATGAAGAAGCCCATCTCTGTGAAGAAGACTCCCCAGGAACCTAAACCCTGCCTGGTACCTCCCAGCTGGCTCACCCTTGCTCTGTCGTGCTGGCTGAAGCCACCAGGTTTTGGCAGATGCTTGAGAGCCGAGATGCTGATGTCCTTGGCACAGCAAAGGGATGGGAGCCTCCTTGAGAGTTGTTCGTTTTTATTATTATTTCTGTAGCAACGCAGAAGGAATTGGCTGCTGGCAGGGATGGAAGGCGTACGGGAGAAAAGAGCTGATCCTATGTCTCCTCTGAACCATCACTTGTGTTCAGAGCTAAAACTGCCTGGGATGGAGCCAGAGGCTCTCCAGGGGGAGGTTTCACAAGCACAGTCCAACGGGGGGTCAGAAAGGAACATTTCAAAATCCCACTCAGAAAGCCAAATACCTGAATTTGGTATTTGTGTGTGTGTGTTAGCAAAACCCCAGCTTCATCTCCTTTTGATGGGGCTTCCCTCCAAAGGTCTCAGGCACTTTTCTCTGCCAGCAAAGGCCAGAATTCACCACATGACATTTTATTATCCCTACCTCCACCACGAGGCTGTGGGACGGAGCTCACAACCTGGGTCCAAGCTGGAAGGAAAGGAAGGAGGACAGTTTCATACTTAGTGCTTTCTGATGGGTGAGCCCTTTGCACCATCCTGAGCCCTACATGACCCTTTTTTTCAGTGCAGACACACCAAAGGGAGGTATTTCCTGCTAAGTCATCCCCTTCTTTAGTCACTGAACCAGCCTCTGTATCTTGAGGTGCTTGCTGGGAACATCATGAGCCACCTGGGACCACTCAGTGCCTCTGACTGCCCCCCAAAAGGGTCACTAGATCTGGGCTGAAATCTTCTTTTGAGGTAGCATTGGCTGGATTCGATTCCTTTTGTTAAAATGCGATAGGTCTGATGCTCTGTGCAAATGTCAAGTGTCTAGAGAGCTGCTGAGGCTGGGAAGCAGCTTGTTTATGGGAAACTCTGGAAACCTTCCAATTTCTACCCGGTTCAGATCAAATCAAACTTTTTAAACAACAATCCAGCGAGTTAAGAGCTTTGCCTTTGCACCAGCTCTATGAATCAGATACATATTAAAATTACTTTAGCGAATCTGGCGCTTCTCTCTGCTCTGCAACACAGTGCTTGCCAGACAACGTGAAAGGCATGAATAAATGAGAATCGTTGTTATTAATTAGATTTTAGAATTACATTTATGAGTCGGGAAAGGAGGAGCCAAGGTACTGGAGGAACCTTGTTCCTGGATTTAGGATTTGCCGGAATAAAAAGCACCAAGTGGGATCTGTGTGGTTTTATCTCTGCTCCCTGAGCATCACAGGCTCTCTCCTGCTCAGCCCCATCAGGCGTACGTGACCATGGCTGGCCATGCTGTTGCAGCAAAAGCCCATAGTACAGGTGCACTCACAGGTAAAAAACCTTTGTTTTACCATTTGGGTCAGATTTATTTACAGTGTGGGTCTTACTGCCCTGGCACCAAGCTCAGTTTTCCTGCCAAAGGTGTGTCCCCTGAAGGAGCACTTCAAGGGTGGTGTGACTATACCATTGCTCTTACATCCCTGCCACTCTCACTGTGGGAATGTGGCCGGAAGCTTTCCAAGGACCAGGCTGTTGTTTGTGGTTTTCAGCTGAGAAACGTAAAAATTGACAAGTGTAAACCATGTAGGTAGCGTCTGACTGAGCACAATCAGAAAACCACTCCTAGAATCAGAGAATCATAAAATCGTAGAATTGTCTAAGTTGGAAGGAACCTTTAAGATCATCTAGTCCAACCATCAAATGTCTCCTCTGAACCATCACTTGTGTTCAGAGCTAAAACTGCCTGGGATGGAGCCAGAGGCTCTCCAGGGGGAGGTTTCACAAGCACAGTCCAACGGGGGGTCAGAAAGGAACATTTCAAAATCCCACTCAGAAAGCCAAATACCTGAATTTGGTATTTGTGTGTGTGTGTTAGCAAAACCCCAGCTTCATCTCCTTTTGATGGGGCTTCCCTCCAAAGGTCTCAGGCACTTTTCTCTGCCAGCAAAGGCCAGAATTCACCACATGACATTTTATTATCCCTACCTCCACCACGAGGCTGTGGGACTGTGTGTGTTAGCAAAACCCCAGCTGCATCTCTTTTTGATGGGGCTTCCCTCCATAGGTCTCAGGCACTTTCCTCTGTGAGAATTCACCACATGACATTTTTTTATCCCTACCTCCACCACGAGGCTGTGGGACGGAGCTCACAACCTGGGTCCAAGCTGGAAGGAAAGGAAGGAGGACAGTTTCATACTTAGTGCTTTCTGATGGGTGAGCCCTTTGCACCATCCTGAGCCCTACATGACCCTTTTTTTCAGTGCAGACACACCAAAGGGAGGTATTTCCTGCTAAGTCATCCCCTTCTTTAGTCACTGAACCAGCCTCTGTATCTTGAGGTGCTTGCTGGGAACATCATGAGCCACCTGGGACCACTCAGTGCCTCTGACTGCCCCCCAAAAGGGTCACTAGATCTGGGCTGAAATCTTCTTTTGAGGTAGCATTGGCTGGATTCGATTCCTTTTGTTAAAATGCGATAGGTCTGATGCTCTGTGCAAATGTCAAGCGTCTAGAGAGCTGCTGAGGCTGGGAAGCAGCTTGTTTATGGGAAACTCTGGAAACCTTCCAATTTCTACCCGGTTCAGATCAAATCAAACTTTTTAAACAACAATCCAGCGAGTTAAGAGCTTTGCCTTTGCACCAGCTCTATGAATCAGATACATATTAAAATTACTTTAGCGAATCTGGCGCTTCTCTCTGCTCTGCAACACAGTGCTTGCCAGACAACGTGAAAGGCATGAATAAATGAGAATCGTTGTTATTAATTAGATTTTAGAATTACATTTATGAGTCGGGAAAGGAGGAGCCAAGGTACTGGAGGAACCTTGTTCCTGGATTTAGGATTTGCCGGAATAAAAAGCACCAAGTGGGATCTGTGTGGTTTTATCTCTGCTCCCTGAGCATCACAGGCTCTCTCCTGCTCAGCCCCATCAGGCGTACGTGACCATGGCTGGCCATGCTGTTGCAGCAAAAGCCCATAGTACAGGTGCACTCACAGGTAAAAAACCTTTGTTTTACCATTTGGGTCAGATTTATTTACAGAAAAAAAACCCCTCCCTTTATCTCACCTGAAATGCTTCATTTTGGTGGTAACTTTGACAAGCCCTGACTTTTCAAAGCACACGTGACCATGGCTGGCCATGCTGTTGCAGCAAAAGCCCATAGTACAGGTGCACTCACAGGTAAAAAACCTTTGTTTTACCATTTGGGTCAGATTTATTTACAGTGTGGGTCTTACTGCCCTGGCACCAAGCTCAGTTTTCCTGCCAAAGGTGTGTCCCCTGAAGGAGCACTTCAAGGGTGGTGTGACTATACCATTGCTCTTACATCCCTGCCACTCTCACTGTGGGAATGTGGCCGGAAGCTTTCCAAGGACCAGGCTGTTGTTTGTGGTTTTCAGCTGAGAAACGTAAAAATTGACAAGTGTAAACCATGTAGGTAGCGTCTGACTGAGCACAATCAGAAAACCACTCCTAGAATCAGAGAATCATAAAATCGTAGAATTGTCTAAGTTGGAAGGAACCTTTAAGATCATCTAGTCCAACCATCAACCTAACTGAGAAAAACCACCACTAAACCATGTCATTAAGCACTATGTCAACCTGTCTTTGAAATACCTCCAGGGATGGTGACTCCACCCCTTCCCTGGGCAGCCCATTCCAAGGCTTAAGAACCCTTTCTGTATAAACATTTTTCCTAATATTCAATCTGAACCTCCCCTGGTGCAGCTTGAGGCTGTTTCCTCTTGTCCTATCACCCGTGACTTGGGAGAAGAGACCGACCCCCACTTCTCTACACCCACTTTTCAGGGAGTTGTAATCCAGGGATGGGATACTACACACCATTAAACATTTC